TGATACCACAACTAATATAATTAAACATAAATATACCTACTATAAATGTAAAATTCAATGGAAATAAATAAATTAATCATAAAAATGTTCAGAATATCCAATAATTTGTRTACAATAATTAAAAAATGTATACTTTTACTTCAAGTGGCATAATTTATTTTATAGGAAAGAATGTTTATGCAGTTTTACCGAACCTTCAAATGAAGGTATGACTGAGGACAGTATGTGTATGACTCTTTGTTCTGGTTCATCCAAAGAAACATGTGGTGGTCTTAATGCGATAAATGTATACAATACTGGATTAGAATGGCAGACGAGTACAATTGGAAATTATTATTTGGGTTGTTTCGAGGAAAGTCAAAATAATAGAATATTGAATGGCTACTCACGGTCTTTTTCTGTGAATACACCAGAATTTTGTTCAAATCTTTGTTACAAATTTGGGTATACTTACTCAGGTGTAACATATAAATCTGAATGTTTTTGTGGAAACCAATCTCCAAACGAACCTAAATTTGCTAAATTGGAAGATAAACAATGCAACACAAAGTGTTCGGGTGATGCTAATCAATTTTGTGGTGGTGGATGGAGAATGGGAGTATTTKCTACTGGATTATATGGTAATTTTTAATAAYGGCTAGTTATTACAAGCACGAGTGATTAGAAACAATTATTGATTTTTTTTTTTAATTTCATGTAGAATAGAAATTCCATTTAAATTCTGTAACTTATAGACCTACATTAACATTATTTAAATACTTACATTTAGTAAGTACATAATAATATATTATATATTTATATAAAAAAAATAGTATCGCTCCAACTGCAAATGTTTTGAATTTAAATTTAATTAAATATATGACAACACAATATTCGTTTGTTTGTGATGAAACATAATATATATTAACTAAACATTATTAGGTAGGTATCTATTAAAGACTAAAATTAAAATGAATAATTATTAAATTTGTATTCAAACAGATTATCAAAYTGAAGATCGATATATTGGTTGTTTTGTACAAGAAGAAAATTCATTAAGTGTCACAAAATTTGAACTAATCAATACTAACGTGCCTAGTAAATGCTCTGCAATTTGTCATAATGCTAAATATCAATTTGCTGGAGTTATGGGGTGATCTAAATTTTATTAAACTATTTTTGTTTTAGTATTACAATTTTTTTTTATGTGATGGAGGGGTGAGGTTATACAATTTTCTAAATTAACCGCTATATCTACCCAGTCTTAATTCCTTTCTTCCAATCCTTTAAAATCTAAAAAGACCTACCTAGATATTTAATCTCATGGTAGTTAAARTCTATATAAAGAGGTATTTTCGCCTCATGAGTTTATTTAGTGTAATATTTGAATTGTGATCCTCGGTTTTAATCATATTGCCTCCATGCATATCCTGTCCACTTTATGCTTCTTACTTAATTTCGTTCACCAAGTCAGATCCTTTAACAAARTTCCTCAATAAAAAAATAAATCCAGATTATATTATTATTGACATTGTAAATATTTTTTAATTACCTACCTTTAATTAATAATGTTTAATATCGTTTTAGTATCAATTGTTTGTGTAGTAACCATGCACCAGAAAATAGTCAGAAAGTAGATGATGCTAATTGTGATACTACTTGTGTTGGTGATTCAAGTAAAACGTGTGGTGGTGAAGATAGAATACAAATATACGATCTCATGAGTAAACGTCGCAATCATTAAAATACCTGATAACTAGGGCTAGGATTTATATGCATTTGCGTGTTTTTTTCCTTTAGTMCAAATTAATTGATTGTCAGATTTKTCCACGATTTGGCTTATTCTCGTTTAAATAGGACAAATTTTTTTTTTGCATATTTTTGCATATTTTGGACATAATGCATATAATTGCATATTCATAGATTTTTTTAGAATTCGATATTTTTTAACTAAAATTTTTAATTTTAACAAGTTATTGCTAATTTTAAATGGTACTTCACAAAACCGACAGTTTTTGGTTTATCCGTTGAATTTTCGTAAATATATAGCATAAGTACTACCTATTTTATCTTAGGTCAGATAATATCCGTTCGTTACCTTATCGTTGGTCGGACGACTGGTAGAATTACTTACACTACATTGTTATACAGTGAGATAGCACAGAAAAATTGTATTGGTACGTCGTGTGTTGCGTAAATGTGCAGACGTTTATACATAATAATTTGAATGGTTTTAATAACAGTGTCCAGTATGCAGAAAGTTCAAAGTGAAAGTGCCAAATTACGTCTMATTAAACTAATATTTAATGTAATAATATGAGCTAATAATAAGTAATAAYAAATTATGAATTATAATAAATAATAAAAAAAAATTGTTTTTGCATATTTTGGTAAATAAAATGCATATTTTACAATTTTTTATTGCATATAAATTCTAGCCCCTACTGATAACTTATTTGTTTTGATAAAATGTATTAATTTTAACATATTTTAAAGGAAAAATAAATGAAAATGAATCTACTTCAACACCTGATTCAACGTATTACGATGACCAATTCGAATACCTAAACTTAAAATCAGCTTGGAGTCATGATGTTTTTATTGCACAAGAGCCAGTATGTAATACATTTATTACATCATACATATTTAAAACTGTTAAGTTAAAAAATATATTATAAACAGACGTAATAATTTTTAATCCCAAGTAAAAATAAAATAAAATACATTTTTAGAAATACAATTATTTCAAAAATGTGAGGCACAGGAATTTCGAAGTTTAAAACTAACGTTAATTATACAAATTGAGCATATTTATTCATAATTGTATACTTAGCAAATAGGGTTGTATATACCGAACATTGACCAACTTATATTTTAAGTTAGATAGTTGCATCTTGTTCTCTCTGATGGCTGATCACCATTCTCTGATCAGTGATTACTGATTACGATCCGGATTTACAAATATACG